CGCTTCATAGACTCACTGGTGTCTGATGGTGAGAGTTGACTAATTTCCAGGAATTGTGCTTAGCGCTTATCACAGATAGCTCTTATTATCTTCACTTTGCAGATGAGGAAACTGAGGCAGAGAAAGAGAGAGGGGTCAGACCGTATGCCCAAAGACACACAGCTGCTCAGAAGAGGTGCCTGGGTGCTCTCTATCTCCCGGGGTTGCTGGGAGGGGTGAGAGAGCTACCCGCGGTGAAGCTCACAGTATCTGGCACACAGTAAGTGCTTGATAAATGGTTGTTATCACTGTTATTATATTGCCTCTTTGCTTCCCACCCCTTCCTTCTCCCGCCAGGCAGAGATGTTTCCAGCAGAGCCTCCCTAGGAGTAGGAGCTCAAGGCCATCTGTCCACCCAGGAGGCTGCCCAGGTGAGGCTAGAGCCCAAAGGACAGGACAGGATGGGAGGGGAGCATCTTCTTATGGCCAAGCCCTGATTGGAGCCCATTTACATCTTAAAACTCAACTTGGAAAACCACAATCCATCAGCCAGTGATGGTGTAAATTGCTTTGCTAAATATATTTCTGGGTACATGGTAAGTAAAAATATCATGAATTTAATAAGCCTTGGAATTCACATTTTTCCAATCCTAATTAAGTTTCTGCTCTGCTTTGGACGTGCTCTTCTCATCAGCGAGGTTGGGGAGGGAGGGCTCTTACGTTCGCTGGAGCTGGGCTGGCCCCAGATAGCTGCTTTCATTAGTGCATTTCATCCTCCCAGCAGAGCTCTGTGTGGCCGGGTTCATTATTCTTGCTTTGCTGAGGTCGAACGGAGTCTCAGGGTTCTATCTAGGGTCACGGCCAGAAGTTAGGATTTGCACCACATTCTAGCTACCTCCTTCAACTTCCCCCCATTCCCTGGGACCTGATGGGTCAGTGAAGTGGCCCCTCTTGTTCCAGAGTCTGCACAGCTTGGCTCACTCCCTTAAGGGGGGGTACCCTACACCTTGACAGCTGTGTACATGCCTACGTGTTCACTCATGAGTCCTCCCCCTCCACATGCACACATTCCCATGGACCCACCATGCAGATACAAATGGCAGTCATGGGTACCATGTCCCATGATGAAGACCTATGGGTCTTCATGGCTGATGGCAGCCATGGTCTTCACGGGTGCTGATGGCAGGGGGTAGTGCCTCTACCGGAATGGCTACCATAGCAGGGATGTTCACCATTGTGATGGTTGATTTTCTGTGTCAACTTGGCTGGGTCACAGTGCCCAGAAATTTCATCACACATTATTCTGTGATGTTTCTTTGAAGGTGTTTTTGGATGAGGTGAACATTGAAATCTGTGCCCTTGGAGCAAAGCAGATTGCTCTCCCTAAGGTGGGTGGGCCTCATACTATGAGTTGAAGGCTTGATTAGAACAAAGACTGACCTCCCCAGAGCAAGAGGGGAGGCTACCAACAGACAGCCACTGAACTCAAACTCCACGCCTTCCCCTGGTCTCCAGGCTTCCAGCCTTCCCCTATCAGATTTTGATTTTGCCCAGCCTCCACAATCACATAAGCCAATTCCTTAAAATACATCTCTCTCTATATATATATTTATATACACATCCTGTTGGTTCTGTTTCTCTAGAAAACCCATAGGAATACAACCATGTTCAAGCACTGTGACAGACCCTCCATTAACACAGAACCTTCTCAAAGCTCAGGGAAGTGGGGACTGATGTCCGCCTTTCTACCAACAAGGAAGTGGGGGTGTGGAGGGCTGGGGCGATCGGCCTCCAGGCTGGCAGAGGGGTGGAGGCTCTGGAACTCAGCAGAACAGTCTGGATTCCAGTTCTGGCGTGGGAACAGCACTGCGGACCTCTGCTTCCTCAGTCACACGGTGGGAAAACACCTTCCCCGTGGGGCTGCTCGGGAGGTGAAATAGGGTGACATCTGAAAGCAGTCAGGAGCTGTTAGGAGTGGGAGCAGAATCAGAACTGAAGCAGGTGTGTCAACTGCAGGAGCCTGCATCCCTGGGCTCACTGGCCCCACGGTCTCCATCTGAGCACCGGGGTGCTCCCTGGGTTCTGTGCTCCAGGACGGGGCTGACTCCTCCCTCCAGGCTGCCCTAGGACCAGCGCCCAGGCCCCCTCCCCATTTCCTGGGGGGGGGGCAGGGTATGCAGTGTTGTGCAGGAGAGGCGATGGGGAGGGGGCAGCATCCCTCTGTCTGGTGTTTCCCAGTCCTTAGCCACGCTGCTGCCTAACCGTACACAGAACAACAGTTGCTTGTCGCCGGGCTATGTTCGGAGATGTAATGTATTCTCCAGGGAGCTGTGTGCACCCGAGGGCCAGGGCAAGGCAGGAAGACCCTGCTGGTCTTCCCTTTGCTGGGTCCAAGGGGGCCGTACAGCCTTTTTGAGTCACTTCATGAGCATTCCCAAGACCCCCTGAAGAAATGAGGTTGGGCAGACAGCAGGAAAACAGGTCAGGGCTCAAGGTGGCCCCTTAGCATGTGAGTAGCCTGTACCTTGGCTGACCCACTTCTCCAGACCCTGGCTTCAGGGTCTGTCCTGACTCTGCTTAAAAGCCTCCCAGTGACGGCGCTGCTTTTAGGACAAACCCATCCTGGAAGGATGGCCAAGACCCTCAGCACCCCTGCGGCAATGCCCAGGGCGTGGCTGCAGGACCAGCCTGGGAGGGTCTCCAGCATGTCCTGCGTGACCTTGGACACTGCATCACCCTTCCGGTGCCTCAGTCTCCTCGCCTCTAAGATGAAGGTTGCAATAGGACCTGCATCACAGATTCTGCCTGGAAAGCAGGTACCATTTCATAAACATTAGTCCGTTACTGTGAAGATCACTGTACCCCTCCTCCATCCCCATTGGCCAAGACAGAGAGAGGAAGCTGGCCTGACTCAAGTGCAGTGTGTGAAGGAAGCCTGGTCTCTCCCTTCCCATTGGAGGAGAGCAGAGGAACTTTCCTTCCCCCCATCAAGGTAGCTCCCAGTTGGCTGTTTAACGTGGCCAGCAGGTTTTCTGGCCACCCCTTGCTCCAGAGCAGGGTGGAGACAGGGAGGCTGGAGGCGGCCCCAGGTCCCGGGAGGGGCAGCTGTGACCTGTCTGCTCTCCCACAGTTAGTGCACGAGGTTGTGTGCCCCTGCCTTGGATGGAGTGAACCCCAAGAAGAGATATGGGCTTCAGCCATTCTGCAGGGACTCCCCACAAGAAGGTTTCCCTCTGGAAGAGATGTGGGAGGGGAAGGGGAGAGGGGGAAAGAGGAAGAAGCTGGATCTGGGCCTCCCTGACCAAGTCATGATGCTGGGGGGGGGTCTCTCAGGTCCACTTCCCCCCACCACCTTACGCGAGAGGCCAGGGCTGGCTGGTCAGACTCAGAGAGGTCGGCAGCAAGACCTCGGCCTCAGGCAGGGAATCAGAGGGAGGGGGTGACCCACAGACCCCACCCCAATCCATTCAGCCATAGCCAAGCCTGGAGGAACAGAGCTCTGAATTTTGCCAAGACTGAAGTTCTAAATAAATCGGAATAAATACTGAAAATGCATGCATGCTAAGTTGCTTCAGTTGTGTCTGACTCTGTGTGACCCTATGGACTATAGCCCACCAGGCTCCTCTGTCCATGGGATTCTCCAGGCAAGAATGCTGGAGTGGGTTGCCATGCCCTTCTCCAGGGAATCTTCCTGACCCAGGTATCCAACCTGCGTCTTTATAAGATCAAACCTGTTATCAAACCTCCTGCATTGGCAGGCAGGTGCTTTACCACTAGCGCCACCTGGGAAGACCAATATTGAAATAGAGGGCTGTAACAACTGGGAATGGCTGAAAATGTATATAATTTGGCTAAATGTCTTTAAGGGAGCAGGAAAAGGGAGATTTGGCAGAATGCAGTAGGGGGAATTATGGGGTCACATAAAATCATTTTATATGTGTACTCAAATATGTCCAGACTCCTCAATACTGGGTTAAATGTATTTATTTGTTTAATTTCTATCTCCCTGTGCGACCATCTGTGCTTTCCTCCTTGGCGATGATGTCCCTGATCAGGTATGTTGCAGGCCTTTCATAAAGGCTGGTTTTGTGAATTAATGAATGGGCCTTGGTCTCCTGACCCTGGAATTCCAGGAGAGAGGAATTCAGAGTGTGTGTGTGTGTGGCGGGGGGGGGTGGTTCCCCATTTCTGCCAGCTATCCACTTGTGGCTACGTTCTATCTTTCCCTCCAATGGGTCCAGGTTGGGGGGTAAGGGAGGGAGAAAGGAGCCTGACATGTGTTTAAAGGGAGCATCTTTCAGCCAATGGGAGCTCTACGGCGGGTGGGGCCTTGGTGGGGGGAGTGCTGGTGAGACCACCTGAGGGGGGAGCAGACCAGGCCCTGGGAGGAGACACGTGTGTGTGTGTGTGTGTGTGTGTGTGTGTGTGTGTCTGTCTGTCTGTCTGTCTGGGTGGGCTGGGGCACAGGTCCCTTCCTTCTTATCCCGCTCCATTTTCTTCATTTCCCGGGAAAGCCAGGGCTGCAGAGCAAAGAGATTCACAGCAGGCCGTGAGCACGGAGGCCCAGGCGGAGGTCCACACATGGTTCGTCCGGGGCCCAAGGTCCGGGACCGCAGTGGGGAGAGCGCCGCCCTGCCTTGCCAGCTTCAAAGCCACGTCCATCAGCCTGGACGCCCGGGGAGCGGGAACGAAGGAGGAGACGGCGCCCCGATTGATGACTTCTTCAGACACGCAGGATCTTCCTCTCTGCTTCTGAGTGGCTCCAGAGCTGTCGGGCCTCAGGGCGTCTCTTCTTTGGAATCAAATCCTCTCTGGGTTTCTCTGTCTCTGTCTCTCTCTCTCTCTCTCTCTCTCTCTCTCACACACACACACACACACACACACACACACACACACGAATCCTCGAGGCTGAATCAGACCTCTCTTCATTTTCCACAAACCATTATTTTCCTTGCCCTTGTGGCTTCAGTCCCTCAGGGAGCTACTCTGACCACCCCCAGGGGTTACTGTTCCTTCACCAGGAGGTAAACGTCCTGCGGTGAACACCCTCCTGGTGACGGCCCCGGGGGTCAAGCAGGGCCGGGCCAGGGAAGGCGAGGGGCCAGGAAATGCCATCCCCGCTCGGGGAGCCCCTGCCATGTCGTCCCAGGAGCCCCCGGAGGGCAGCCCCTCTCCCCACTTCCTCGGCTCACTGGCTTCCCTCCCGAGCAACATGGCCGCCCGGGAGGGACCACCTGCCGCATCCGGGGACGCAGACGCGGTGGCTGCTGGTCCTTCGTGGGCCGGGTAGGTTCTCCCTCCCGAAGCCGGCTTCCTGCTCCAGAGAAGCTTAGGCCAGGACTGAGGCATGTGATCTTACAAGAGGTATTTTTAGCTTTCTCATTAACCGAGTGCTTTCAAATTAGCCTTCTATTAACCTCAAAGGAAAATGAAAGTGTTTTTTTTTCTTCCTTTCCAGAGTAAGTCTCTCCTGCAGAATATCAAGGTTTCCGTGATTAACGTTTCATGCGCCTTGAAGCTCTAATGAAGTCGGCTTCTCTAATATCGAACTTGATGGAATAATTGGTCCTCGGTCTCTGCAATGGCGAGGGAGATGCTGCCGCGCAGGGCAAATTGGTCTTTTCCTTCTCATCTCAAACATGCTTTGTTTCTGTCGCCCCTTTCCTACCCCCGGAGACGCCCCCATCGCCACCCTCACTCAGGAAGGGTCCACGTGACCGACCCTCCCTTTCAGTCTCATCTGCGAAGTCGCCGCCTGCTCTGCGTTGCTGATCGCAGACTGACACTTGGACACAGCTGCTGTCTGAAGCACTGTCTGGTCCCCGAGCCTCGTGGCCCGGGTCACAGAGGAGGCCTCTTGACTTTGGTGGTGTCCCTTCAAGTGGGCTTTGGCACGCCACTGTTTGGAGAGGGGCATGAATAGCTTTGCTATTTCCCAGCACTGTCAGGCAGGAAGTCTAAAGAAAGAGACTGATTCAGTTTCCACTCTCCACCGCAGAGGCGGGAGGAATCTGCCCGCCCAGGGTTACTGGTCAGCAGGTGTCTGGCTCAGGGATGGCAAAGATGGGCTGGCAGGAGGGGGCTGTGCAGCCCACCATCTCGGAGGATGCTGTATGGGGGTGGGTGGACATCTGCCAACAGAGAGGAGGCAGCCGCCTGGACACTCGCACTCCCCAGGACTCCGAAAGAGATGGTGGGGCTGCTTCTGAAGGACTCAGGTCAAAGTCTGAATTGTTCATCAGTTGCTCCAGCCTGCTGGTGATCCCTTAGGGCTTGACACCTCTCTGTCTCCCTCATCCCCTGTTTTCCCAGCCCCCACCTCCCCCTGAGTCCTCGCCACTGATTACCATTCCCTTTCCTCACCCCTGAGTCTTCCTCTCTTTGCTTCTCCCTCCATTCCTGGGCCTGCGCTTCCTGAAGCCATCATGGCAAAGAAAGACTCTGGGCTTCTCACCCAAAAGTCTCTTAGGGAGACCATTTACTTCTTGTTGGCATTAAGCTCCATGTGTGAGCATTTGCTCAGCCAAGGGGGCTGGGCCAAGAACAGCTTGATGAAGAGCTTTCTGTCTTACATGAGGGATGCTCCTTGGTCCTAAAGACCTGCATCTCGCAAGGAGGGGGCTCCTCCCTGGGGACTCACTCACCCTCTCTCATCCCAGAGGAGGGTCTGTCCTCCCCAAGTGGCTCGCCCGCCCCCCTCTAGATGTGACCAAGTTCCTGGGGGCCCTGAGAAAAGGCAACAGGCCCACGATCTAAAAGATAAAGAGAGAAGGAAGTTCCCTGGTGGTCCAGTGGTTAGGACTTGGCGCTTTCACTGGGGTTCAATCTCTGGCTGGGGAACTAAGATCCCAAAAGTTGTGCAGTCCAGTTGAGAAAACAAAAAGACCAGAGGGTCACGTGTTCACAGATGACCCACACACCTCCAGCTCCTGCCCCGAGTGTCCAACCACCACTTTTTCATCCCCACCTGCCACTCCAAAGTGGAGATGTCAGAAGGTAAATTCATCACCTCACTGTCAAACGTCTTCCTTCTTATGTCCGACCTGGTTAGTGGTGTCCATCGCCCATCACCCACACCAGGAATGCAGGACTCATAGATTCTTCCACATCCCACCAGTCACCAAGTCCTGTCGATACTCACCCAGTGGGCCCTTCTGCCCTCTATCCCTCCATCCTGCAGCCACTCGGGGTCTCAGAGCTTTGTGATGGTCCTTCAGCTTGTGTTGCTGTTGCAAATCCCCTAAGTCCACTTCCCTTTCTGCAGCCAGAGTGCTTGTCCTAAAAGGTGGGGGTGACTAGGCTGCTCCCCTGCTACTCTTTCAGTGGCTCCCAGTTACCTTCACTGAAAGCCCATATTCCTTGATGATTTTTCCAGGAGTGGGACCAGCCCATTGATTCAGCTTTATCCCCAGCCACTCTCCCCCTACAAACCTCTGTCCAGCCAGACCCAACCAACTGCGCTTCCCTGGACATCCTTGGCCATTTCACATCTTTGGGGTTTACATCTGGTGTTGCATTTGACTGGCAGGCTCTTTCCTCCTGGCCATCTAGTGAACTCCTACTCATCCTACAAAGCCCCTTCAAGTGAACCCTCTTCTCGGAAGCTATTACAACTGGGAAGTTCTTCATATTGTCTATTAGAATCCCTGCCTATTCCACCTGATTTTCCCCAGATCTCACTGTTGTCTACACTTAAGTTCTCTGGAAAGGTGAGCTCGGGAATAATGTTCTCTAGGTGTTTTCCATACCGAGGTCAATACTAACATTCTGTAGTTTCAGTAAAGGGTCTATCATTCTCCCAGGTTTTGCAGACATAGCCAAACTGCCTTCATTTTACCCTCCTTACTCTCTGCCCCCTCCCCTCCTGACTGCTTTCTCTTTATTGCATCTTCTTAGAATGAAGTCGTGTGCAGGGCACTGGTCTTAGAGTTTGATTTTAACTCCCTAAACCAGAGCTGTGTGTGGCCCCTTCCTCCTCTGCTGCTTCCTCCTCTTCCTCTGTCTCCTCCTCCCCCAGTGATGATGACAGTGGCATTTTCCTTCTCATCCCCATTGGTCTGCAGACCCTTGTTCCTGGGAGTAGGGACATCATCCTGTTATTTGAGAGCTTCTTTCAAGTCCCACATAACCATCCAGTTGCATCTCCCAGCCCTTGGTCCCTCTAGCTCCTTAGCATCTCCACCAGAGATGGGGTGAGGAAGGAAGGGGACAGAACTCAGTTTTACTCCTGTTACAATTTGGGCCAAAGGTAGGGAGGGGAGGACACTGATCCTATTGGGCACCAGGAGGTGGGCAGATTTTCACTTCTCACTTGCCCATTTGACCTGGTCCCTCCCCCTCACTCCCCCAACCGGCAGCAACACAGGTAAGGCTTCTTTTGAAGGAGGCTCAGACACAAAAATTTGGTCTTAAAGTCAGGTAGGGGGTAATTAGTTACATTTCCCAAGAATTCTTACCTTTCCAAGGCTCTGCAGCAGGGAGCCCTTAATTAGCCCACTCCCCTGGAGTGTCAACAGCAGAGCTGGCCAGCCGGGCCCAGCCCCACTCCTGTGCGCGCCTGGACCCCAACCAGCTTATTTTCCTTCCTTTGCCATCTTTGTATCTTTTTTCATTTTAATTAAGTTCTTTATTATCACGCTTTCTCTCTGAGGTAGGGGAGGGGCCTGCCTTGATTTTCCTCACTTCACAGATGTGGAAAACCCGGGTTACAACTGCACGGCCAGAGCACCGAGGAAACCAGACCCAAGGGGAAGCCAGAACTCCAGGTTCTGTCCAATAGGCCCAACCCTTTTCTTCCCTAACCAGAGAATCTGTTATATTTGGAGAGCTGATGAAACCAGCTAAAAGCCACATTTTCTGGTTTTCTGAGCAGCTAGGCACGACCACGGGACCAAATTCTGTTCATGGGATGTAAGTGGTTATGTTCACTGGGATGTCTGGGCAGGAGGCTCAAGGGAAGCTGGCTCAGCTGAAAGGCATGCTACCCTTTGATGTCCTTCCCACTCTTCCCTGCCTGGAAAGTGATGGCTGGAGCTCCAGCAGCTGTATTGAGCCAAGTCAGAGCCTTGAAATGGAAGCTGTGTGCTAGGCTGGCAGAAGCAGAAAGACAGAGGGCATATTAAGTTCAGATAACCACTGAGTTACCTGATCCTAGCTAACAGGTTAAGTTTAGTGGCTCTCATCTTTAGGACTATACCACACCCACAGCCTGGAGAGAAACAGATGGGATAGAGTTGTCTGTATTTGTATCCAAGTTATGTTGCTGTTCACTGGCTAAGTTGTGTTGGACACTTTTGGACCCCATGGACTGCAGCACACCAGGCTTCCCTGTCTTTCACTATCTCTGGGAGTTTGCTCAAACTTATGTCCATTGAATCGGTGATGCTATCAAAAACAATCTCATCTTCTGTTGCCCCCTCCTCCTCCTGCCCTCAATCCAGGTTTCCCAGCATCAGAGTATTCTCCAATGAGTCAGCTCTTCACATCAGGTGGCCAAAGTATTGGAGCTTCAGCATCAGTCCTTCCAGTGAATATTCAGGGTTGATTTCCTTTAGGATTGACTAGTTTGATCTGCTTGCTGTCCGAGGGACTTTCAAGCCTTATCCAGCACCACAATTCGAAAGCATCAATTCTTCAGCACTCAGGTTATAACTTTCCCCAAATTCTGTGTCTTTCACCCTCAACCTCACCTTCTCCTTGTGGGTCCAAAAATGTGAGCATCCCTTAAAAAGGGAAGTCCAAGTCTCTTTTGCGACCACGTCACTCAGCGGGAAGCACTGGGAAGTGCATCAGTGCCGCCAGGAGGTAAAGACAAGTGGCCTTTTGTGATTGGCTGTCCTCTGAGGCCACGCCCACTAAGCCAAGCTCCACCCTCCACGCGCCCTTGGCTCCCATCACTTTTTCAGGTACCCACCTTCACTTAGATGGGTCCCCAGAGATGGGTCACTTGGCTTTTACAGGGTCTGCTGACTCTTGGAATCATTTCAGGCTCTATCATGCGTTTTCACCTGTGCAGATTTTGCTTCTTATACTGGCTCTCTTGCCCGCACGACTCTGGGTACATCTCTTTTCATTCCCGAACTTCTCTATTTGCTCACCATCAGAGAAATGAGTTGGATTGATCTCCAAGACCCCTCCCAGTTTCCAATCACCGAGATGGAAGGAGGTCAGACAGGGAAAGCCGCCGACCCTAATAGTTTTCAGCTGAGACTCTGACCCGCCAAGCACAGGGCTCCCATATCAGTTCTGGCAGCTGCAGAGAGGCAGGTAGGCGGTAAGCTCTCCTTCTCT